CGGACACGGAAAAAAAAAAAAAAAAAAAAAAAAAAAAAAAAAAAAAAAAGCCCCAAATAATCTTTAGAACATCAATAACTTTAGCCATTATCATTTACTTTAATAATAATACTAATAACTTCTAAGAATACAGGCTGCGTTCTACTTTGGGTATTTTCTTTCTTGGTACACTTGTTCTTTTTGTCTAGTACACTTTCTTTTTCCCTACTCCTGGCTTTTATTCTCTGCCCTTTCTTTCTCCGATGCAGAAACATCGATAGGACCAATGAGGAAGAAGACAACATTGAGCTGAGTGAAGAAGGAAGGCCAGTGCTGACGGCCAGGCCGGGCCCCCCACTTTGTGACTGCAGCTGCTGTGGCATCCCCAAGCGCTACATCATCGCCATCATGAGTGGGCTGGGATTCTGCATTTCCTTTGGGATTCGGTGCAATCTTGGAGTTGCCATTGTGGAGATGGTAAACAATAGCACTGTGTATGTCGATGGAAAACCAGAAATTCAGGTTGGTATCAGTCTATGGTGGGGGTTGTTTTGACTGCAGCTGTATGAATACTTTGCTACGTGGAAAAACCACAATTTATTTATAAATTGCACAATTTACTCATTGCTGTGGCAAAAATGTAGAGTAGCTACAATGTGCAGGGGACAGAGTGGTGAACAAGGTAGACACGTAGGTGATGACACCTCGGGATTGCAAGTGCTACGCTGGGAGAGCACGGGATGCTCGGGCTCATGTAGAAGAGGGCCTCGCCCAGACTTTGATGTCATGAGAGAATTCTCGGAGAAAGTGGTGGCTGGACCAGACAAAGAGAGGGTTTAGGTGGGGTCAGAAGAGCGTTTGAACAAAGAGGAACATCGTATGTGAAGGACTGTAGGAAAGAGAGAGAGAGAAACAGAGAGCACACGTGGTATGTTTTAGGAACTGAGACTGGAGTGCTTTGCCTTTTCTGTGTCATGGACCCCTTTGGCAACCTGGTGATGACTTATGAACCCTTTGTCAAAATAATGTTTTAAATTCTTAATTTTTATTTATTTTTGTTTTTTAATTTTATTTTGTCGATATAGAATGTGGTTGATTATTGTGGCCCATTATCGAAACCTCCCTCCCTCTTCCCTCCCCCCCCTCCCACCCAACAAAATACAAAGGATTATAAATGGAGCCAATTACATTAAAATACAGATGTCAAACTATTTAAAAATCAAATTTGTGATATAGAAACATATAGGTTTCTTTATTAACGCCGTCAGATGACAAAATCTAGCAATGGGTCTAAAATTTACTGTAATTTTAAGTTTGAAGTGTAAACGATTGTTCAAGATAGTAGCAATGACCGTAATATGATTTGAACATATTTATGATTTCTACTAGTGACAGAGTAGTCATACTACTGTGGCTTGTTGCCCAAGTTCATAATTGAAGAAAATGCTAAATTTCAGTTAACCATTAGTAAAAATAAAGATGTAAAGTTTTTCCCATCCAAGTTTACAGACCCACAGGATTCCACCCACACCCTCCAGGCCAAGGACTCCTAGTGGGAGGAGAGAACATCAGGAGATGGAGGCAGCCAAGTAAATAGGGGCAGATCCTACGAGGCCTGGTAAACCATGTAGGGAGTCACAGATGGGCCTCACGCAGAGAGGTGATCAGATCTGCACTCCAGAATCATCACTGCCCAATGGGAGGAGGCTGCACTGAAATGAGATGAGTGGAGGCCCCAGGCCCACTTCAGAGGCCGTTGTCATTATAAACAAGCATACTACTCTGATGCGACTTAAATTGTATTTTATAAATCACTGGAAACATAAAATCTAGTTTGTTTCTTAAATGGTAGGCCTGGAGAAGTATCGAGGTCATGGGAGAAAAAACCAAAAATATATGCTCAGTGGACACCCAATAAGTACATGTTTCATTGACTTGAACGCACACACTAGAATGGCTCTTGTGGAAATACACCCATGTGCAGAGAGGCATGTAATAGTTCTCTGGTCTCCACCCATGTTTGGAGAAACATTTAGATCAGAGTTTCTCAAACTGGTGTCTGGGAAATCATTGCTCTGCAGGCTGTAGTATGAAGGTGTTGCACGATGTGGAGACTGTTCTGTGCAGTGTCCCATGAGACTCTCTGCGAGGGGGATAGGCATCACAGTATTTCTTGGACTGACATGACTGCAGAATGCTCTCTTTCACGCCACATCTATTAGCATCATCTGGAACAGTCTTCTGCCAAGCACTGGTTTGGGAAAATTTGATTTCAATCCATTAAAAAAGAAGTCTTTAG